TTGTGTGTGTGTGTGTGTGTGTTTGTGTGTGTGTGTGTGTGAGAGAGAGAGAGAGAGAGAGAGAGAGAATGCACCCTACTTCATGATAGCCATGTTTCTTCTCTTGGCCAATTAGGGTTAAAAGATCTTTGATATCACTTCCCCCATTTTTTCTTCTGATTGGTGAGAGACTTTGGTTGAGGGGAGGTGACAACAGACGGGGTGTTGGGTGTGTGCATGTGATACAAGGCGCCCTCATTCTCTCTCCCTGAATCCACACAGAAATCTGTGAGGAGGTTTTGAGACACGTGGACCCAGAACTCTACAGCCATATAGAGAGTGTGTCCAAAGAAAAGCTGATTTTCTGCCTCAGGTAAGAAACAAAAACACAAACAAACCATTTCCCAACCTACATTCCTCCACCTCCTGTCCAAGATAGTGAGTGGGTACTATAAAGGGGCCCATGGAAGTGATTCTGGAAACACTGTTAACATTAATTCACTACTATTAACATTAATTTGGGAATGGTTTCATTAGTTAACAGCGCCGGTAATCACTAATGATGCATTAGTACCATTTGCACTGTAAATATTTTGAAAACGTGAGTACTGAAAAATGGTCACCACCATCTGTAACTACTCTCCAAAAGCTAGACATTAAAATAACACAAAATGTTACATGCTGCTCAACCCATTGATGATATTGTCATTTACCAGCAGGTGGACAACGGGTGGGCCTCCCTTAGTCTTAGCCAGCATAATGAGCAATGTTGGGAGTTGGAGTCCAACAACATCTGGAGCGACACATGTTGCCCATTCTTTATTTAAATAATGTCTTTAATAAGCCTTGTTTGGAAATGTCTGATGAATGTATGGTAATACATTATTTTAGCACATTATTTCCAAGTTCCAAACCTGACAGCGTGGTTCTCAGCCTCCATTTAATGTAGGCTTTTCCAGCCCTGAGACTTCAGATGCCATTGGACTCAACACCCCATTATCCACAACTATTGAAAATGCTTCCTGGGAATAATGGAAATTATAGTCCAACACCATCTGAGGACCCCAACTTCAGAAAGCTGCTTCTAGAGGAAACCAAATTATGTAGCTAGAAAAGCTTCATTCTGTAACATATAAAGAAACTTCAATGAGTCCGAAATGCCTGGTTACAGAGATTGCATCACACACACACACACACACACACACACACACAGAGAGAGAGAGAGAGAGAGAGAGAGAGACCTCTTTTACAGCAACTCCACTGGCTGTGTATCCATTTCTGAGTAAATTCAGAGTGCTGGTTCTAACCCAGAAAGCCCTGAACAGTCCAAAACTGTATCTCCCTTTTTGAGCCTGCCCAGGTGTTAAGATCACCAGGACAGACCTTCCTCTTGGTCCGGCCACCTTCCCAGGTGTTTATGGTGAATCCATGGGAGAGGGCCTTCTCTGTCGCTGCCCCCCAGACTCTGGAACTTCATCCCACAGGAAGCTAAGCTGGCCCCCTCTTTGCTGTCTTTCTACAAGTAGGGAAAGAGACTTTTCTCTTCAGGCAAGCTTTCCATGAGTGAATGGCTGCCTGAGTGGGTTCTTTTAATGGAATTGTTGTACCTTTACTGCTTTGAATGTGTTTTTTGGTGCTGCTTTTGTTTTTTGTATGGTTTCAGTTTGATCCTTTTTAGTATTTGTATACTCACTGTAGTTACCTTTAATATTGTTTTTTAATGATATAAGCCGCCTTCGGTTCTTTTCAGGTAATGATATAAGCCGCCTTCGGTTCTTTTCAAGTGGGGTAAAATGTTTTAATCAAACAAACAAACAAATATCAAAGCATGCCAATTAATACATTCTATATATTGTCTTCGCAAGATCTCTTTGTCCAGTCAACATCTATACATCTCTGAGATTTCAAAAACAAAAAACAGTGACTGTGCAAAAACTCCTCAGCATTAATTGCCATTCCTCTTCTTGCAAAATTAATATTTTGTGAGGGAGTCCTCTCAGCCTTGCTGTCTATTTCCCCACCTGCCTTTATTATTTTGTGTCTAAACAAATATATGCAATTTTATGTAAATCAGCATCTACTTGATCTCCTTTTTGGCCTCCCCTGCATTCTGCTTTGGGGTGATGTGTAAATGGCAACCCTAACCCTAACCAAGAAGACTTCCACAAAGGGACTACAATGGTCTCTGTAAGAAAGCTGGCTTGTGGCAGAGCTTGGAGACAGGATCAGAACTTGGAAAAAGTTACTTTTTAGATGACAACTCCTATTGGCTACGGTAGTTGGAACATTTAGGGAGCAACTTGATTTTTAAGCTAATATTTCAAATGCCCAGAAAAGTGATTCACTTACTGGCCCTTTCTCATGCCTCCTTTGGCCCTCTGCATAGGTGGCTGCTGTTGCTTTTCCAGAAGGATTTAGACCACCCAGATGCCGTGAGAGTCCTAGAGATCAGTGCCTTGGAATCAGAGAAGATTAATTTTGGAGCTTTGCTATGGATGGCTCACAAGGAAGGTGAGCCCTTTCCTCTTTGCAAGAGAGACTCATGGTTCCTGCAGTGGTAGTACAAAAATAGGCTGAAGGTCCTCCATAGCTTTTTCTGAGGATTGTGCTTTGGGACTCAGCTTAGGCAAAAGAGCTTTTCAGAACCTAAACACCTCCACAACAAATGCTTTCATTAGGGATAAAAGCATGTTAGTACTAGAAAGGCAGTGATTCAGGCACGCCTTCATGTTTGAAAAAGTAAACTTAGAGCCTTAACTACACAGGGGGAAAGTGCAGGGAATACTATGGGTTGGCGGTGGGCTGGTTTGCATTTTTTTCCTGTTGATCACATGACACAAAGGGGAAAACAAATCAGCCCAGAGTTTCATACCCCCATTCTAAGCACACATCTCATCATCCTTTTCTGAACCAGTTCAAGCAATCACGTGCTTCAACCAATGTGAAAGGACTTGAAATTTAAAAAAAAACCAAAGGTTCCCTAACAAACAGAAAAAGCTATGGATTGGGGAAGGAGAATCCAGGACAGTTCACACTTCCCATTGTGTCATTTGATCAATGTGGGGGGAAAAAAGTGAATCGGCCTAACCCAAACCCGTAGTATTTTCTACAGTTTTTGATAATGCAGTCACCCCCTAACTCTTGAACCCAAGCCCACCCTGTCCCCAGACTTCTCAATCTGTTGTGCCCTCGTGTATTTCTTCCAGGACTGATATTGCTATCAAAGACATGGCACTAGGGAAACAGGTGTAAAATCTTCTCTCTCCATAGGTGAGGAGGCACCAGCCCCATTCACAACTGTGGATCGGGATGAAATCACATTTGAGGTTCTACTTTGCATTGCTGTCCTGATCCAGAACAGGAAGCAACTGCTGCAGTACCATGATGTCAATGATTTTTTCCTGTTTGCACAGAGGTAGGCAAAGTGGCCAAGACAGCTGGCCAGTCAGCATGCTGCTTCTTCAGTACCAAAGTCATATCATGGTTAGAGTGCTGGGCTGTTCAAATTCTCGTCCTCACTGACCTGTGAAATTTACTGGGTGACCGGGCCAGTCAGTCTCTCACTCACTCTGACCTACCTTATAGGGTTGTTGAGAATACATGTCAGAGAGGAAGAGAGCATCATTCACTGCCTTGAGCTCACTGGAGGAATGCCATGTGGATTAACACAGAGAATCCTCTCTGTGCAAAAAGAAAGAAAAGAAAAGAAAAGAAAAAGATCTGGAGATATATTTTGAGACAGCTGAATGCAGGATCACACGATAATAACATTTGTATCTCTATACACATTTGGAAAGTTGGAGACATTTGACATGATATGGCTGAAATCCTCTTGCACAGCCCTGCATGTACAACAGGGATTATGTCAGTGGCAGCAGCAAATTGTCACTGATTAAAGGCCATTTTGGGGTCCATGCAACTCATAAACAATGCAGCAAAGTCTCATGCTTCCTAAAATCATCAGAGGAAGCGTTTAATCCATGACAAATTGCGGCAGCTAGTGATGTCATCACTGTTCCACATACAGAGCTATGCAACAGGATTCCAGCCATTATCTTGGAAAACATACAACAGCCTTTCAAAGTACACTGATATTATTGTTGTTGTTGCTGCTGCTGTTGTTGCTGTTAGCATCCTAGGATCTTAGCTTTCATCATGCTGGTTTGGAGTGCTTGTTCTTGTACAGCAAAAATCAAGCCTTCGGTTTCTTTCTTAAGAGTCCCCAGTTTTATGCGTGCCCATGTTGAATTATGATCATGCTTTCCATCAATATTATTATTATTCAGAAACACCAGTGACAGTCAATCGAGATGATAAAAGCATTGACTGGTGTTATATAACAGATATGAGCTTTAACCAAAAACAACCTCCTCCTTCTCCTTCTCCTCCTTCTTCTTGGCAACCACTGCAGGCTGAGGTGAAGGGATAACAGCTTGTCAAGGAACTCCAGCCAAGAGTAGAGAAAGACTATAGTTCAGTGGCAAGGTGCCTGTTTTGCATGTTCCATCCCTGTCCTTTCCTCTAAAAGGAACAAACAACAGTGCATGGAAATATCATGGGCCTGATTGTGACCCTGAGGGAAGTTCATCAGCCCACATGAATAGCCGATACTGACCTGGAATAAGGCAGTTCTCCACACAGGATTGTATGTTCAGACTCCATCAGTTGTCTCACTGGCATGTAGATTCCATTCTTGGATGCTCCAAGAGATTCTGTGCTTGTGTCTCCCTTCCTGGGGAACACAAAAGATCAGTCCAATCTGTGGACACAACTGTGGGCAACGTGGTTCCTACTTGCAGGGTCAACGCCAGGTTCATGTTCATGAGGAACCAGGAGGCTGGGTCCAATGGCTTTGCAGGAAAAGGGGGTCGGGGTTCAAGGAAGAAATGGAGAAACTAATGAAGGGGTGCTAGTGGAAGGCAGAAATGCAACCCCTGTTTTCGCAGACAGTGTATATGTTGCCTGTCAGAAGATGGTGACTAAGCATAGAGGGGACAGGTATCCCAGATGTGAATATTTCATACTCTGGAAATACATACAAAGAAAGGGCTGCTACTCTCCGGTCCATTCCTTCCCAGGTTTTGCTGACTGCCTTCCCTCTCCTCCTCCCAGATATGCATAGTATGTTTTAGACAATGTGCTTGGAAAGTTTAAAGGCACAGCAGGTAAAGGAGAAGACTGGGTGACAAGTTTATGGGAAAGGATGGGCCTTCCCTCCCCATTAGCTCAGATACAAAGAGTAGCATTCAATGTTGAGAGCAAGAGGTGGCAAGCAGGTTGTTATCCATATGTTCTCCTTTGGCACTTTCTTGTTGTGTCTTGTTGTGGCTGCTGTCTGGAGAGGGCTTTGGGGCAGCAGAACAAGCAAACCCCCTCCTCAAACACATCCGGACTGTCTGACTACATTTCAAGCTGTAACAGTGCATGGCAATTTCAGGAGTGCTTGTTAAGGCTGCTGTGAGATCAGTACCTTTCCCCTGTAAGATCATTAACCACAGGATACTACATATTCCTCAAGATCAGAAGGTGGGGAAAATCTGGGTGGATCAAAGCACAGCTGCCCTAGTCTAGCTCAGTGGTTCTTAACCTTGGGGGTACTCGGGTGTTTTTGAACTGCAACTCCCAGAAACCCCAGCCAGCACAGCTGGTGGTGAAGGCTTCTGGGAGTTGCAGTCCAAAAACACCTGAGTAACCCAAGGTTAAGAACCACTGGTCTAGCTTCTTGTTTCCAACAGGGTCCAGCCAACCCCTTTGTTGCCAAACAGCAGATTGCGTAGGTGATAACCCATCACTCCGACTTGGAATTCTTAGACTCTCAGAATGCAGAGGGGGTGGGGGTGGTCCTGGGTGGCCTCCACCATGCATTGTGCTTGACTTATGGTGCTAATGTGATCACAGTTTGCAGGGTAGACTTCAGCTGAACTCCTTGCATGGGACAGAGTGGCTATGAACGACAGGTTCCAGGAATGGAGGAAACAACAAATCACTATGAAGAATGTCCCTCCAAAAGAGGAATGGGCTAGTGTGCCCTCAAAGGAAGAAATGAGATCATGACCTCTTTGAGAACCAATCTCCAATGAAGCTATAAGCAGATCATCTTAGCATTCTGTCAGGGCTCCTTAATGAATAAACAGAATACTCTCTGGACACACTTTCGCCTAAAAGCAACACCCTGCCCTACTTATTCTAGTTCCATGCTACACTCTCCATCCCCAAGCCATTTTTTGGTGGCACTGCTAAGCAAATGCCTATAAACTACTTGCTGGCCACCACCAAAACTTGTAAACTACTTGCTGGCCACCACCAAAACTTGTAAACTACTTGCTGGCCACCACCAAAACTTGTTGCCCAAAACCGGTGGAAGTGAAACTTAACAATAGCAACAAAGATATAACCCACCCTTCTTTTGCCCTTCCCTCCTGGAAGGGAAGGAGACACTATATCTTTCAAACTGGCGGATGTCTATGGCGCAGGAGAATGCTCTGCCAAACTCTAGCACCACAGAAAGCTGCCAGAGTTACCACCAAGAGGCTGTCTGCATGGACTTTTAGGTGCACTTCAGGAACAGGCTGGTCTGCTCCTAAAGATGTTGGTCAGATGACGGTGGATCAGATCTTTGTTGGAATGGACCAGTCTGCCCTGAGTGATCCCTTCTGTACCTTTTTGAGCACCTATCAGGCGCTTTTTTGGTGCAGGTAGGATCACTCTTGTTTGGATCAGTTCCAGAACATGTCATCACTGGAAATTATCCAATACAAGCCTTCCAGTTTGAATATGTCAGTATCGTGAAGTGGCTCAATAAGTAAGCCACTTCAAGATATTGGCCAATTGATTGTTCCACAGCAGAGGGGCAGGGGAAGTGTGTGTGTTTGTTTTACTACATAATGAACTATAGCTGATGTACTGCATCAGTTATAGAAAACGTTCAAAAATCTTTTCTTTCCTTCGTCGTAATGGGGCTGTTGAAAAACCACTTGCAATTGAATCCACCGGGTGGCTTTGGCTGGAGATAGTTTTTCGAGCAGCCCTTTAAAAGAAGGCAAAGAGAAGATTTTTTTTAAAAAAAAGTCTAACTGATGTAGCACATCAGCAGTACTCCATACACACACACAAATCACTTCCCCTGCTGAGAAGTAGAGATGTAGAGGAAGTGAGTCCTGAATTGGCTTGCTTATTAAGCCACTTCACAATATGGTCAGGAGTGCTTTCCACATGAGACAAGTCAGTCTTGATAAGTTTGCTCTAATCAAGTCTGACTCTCAAACCCAACTGCTTCAAAGCAGCCTACACTAGTTCCTTTAAGATTACGATGTATTTAATTTAATCTTCTGCCACAGGTGGGCATTTTGTTACTGTACATAAAAGATCTTTGTTGTGCCTGAGCTAAGTACCTAAGAGGCAGAGATACTCCCAGATTAGGTACAGAAACAAGTGGAGGGGACAAAAGTGAAAATAAAAGCAAAAGGAAAAAAACATATTACAAGATCTGTAACTGGATCACCTTGCCATTAAAAGGGGGGGCGGGGGATAACCAAAGGTGGCTACAGAGAGTGGGATTAATACGGCTATCACATTTAAAGCTGCAATTTGCCCCAAAGATAAAAATGTACAACTATCAAGGTATGCAAAACAAAACAAAAACCCTGATTTTCCAGGAAAGAGATATTAGGGTTGCAGCAGACAATGCAATGCAATGACCTGGTGGACAGCAGCAGTGAATAAGAAAAAATCCACATTATGGAATGTTTGAAAAGCAATTGGAATCATCAGCTGCATAATGATTTTATATTTATCTTTGCCCATCTCAAAAAGAGCATCCCAAAGCTGGAAAAACTGCAGAAAAAAACAACTGAGATGACCCGAGACTTGACTGTGTAAGTAAAGGCTAAGGAAAGGGGACTTTTTAATTTAGGGGGGAAATAGAGTAAATGGGAAACAGGCTATGGAGAAGGCAAGTAAATAATAATAATTCTTCCCTTTTTATTAATCCTGGTTCACAGGCACATAAATGAAATTGTCTGCCAGTTGGGGACTCCATATTTTACAATCTTAAGCTGTTATTTTGCACACAGGCAACCTGGGAGCAGAGGCCCTAACAATGGGTCTTTGGGTGAGATTCCATGGGAAAATAGATCACAATTTTGGCTGCTTGTAGGGCAGTCTGATGCAATCTGTTTTTTGGCAGTCACATGACATACAGGGAAAATGCACTCCAGCCCAACTACGATCCATGCTGAAGCTAGACCTTTTTGGTCCAGCTATAGAGCTACGATCTTTCAGAAGCTGAACTGGAAGGATTCTAAGGGTCACTTTAAAGGCAATTGCTCCCATTAAATTGACCCTTTCTGGCACAATCACCTTTCTCATGATTAGACATATACTGTATAGGATTGTGCTGTAGCTATTCTGCCCATGCTAGCTGTCATGGGTATATCAATACATCTCTATGTTCAGGGCGAACACAACAAAAAAACAGAGCTCCTCCTGCCTGTGAGGAGCAGGAGGAATGTCTCCTACTTAACTAATAAATTATTGGAGATAAAATAAATGCTTGAAATTACATCAAAATGTAGAATTTACATCTTAGTTATCTCCCATCCTCCAGCAGGCAGTGAGGAAAACAGTTTGAGGGAAGGCAAAAATATCCCCTTCTGGATAGATTTCAACCCTCTATGGATGAGAGACTGCCTGTGAGGAGCAGGAGGAATGTCTCCTACTTAACTAATAAATTATTGGAGATAAAATAAATGCTTGAAATTACATCAAAATGTAGAATTTACATCTTAGTTATCTCCCATCCTCCAGCAGGCAGTGAGGAAAACAGTTTGAGGGAAGGCAAAAATATCCCCTTCTGGATAGATTTCAACCCTCTATGGATGAGAAATCTCTCCTCCCTCTCTCAAACACATACACACAGAGGGAGAGAGAGAGAGAGAGACCATGCAAATAATGCACAGAGAGAGAGAGAGAGAGAGAGAGACCATGTAAATAATGCACATATCTATTCCCATTCTTCCATTCTAGTTTGACTTCAAAGTCAACAGTTGGATGCTTTGAAGGCAGACTTAATATCACTTCATTTAAAGGTGGGTTTGTGGTCATTAAATGTAAAATCTTATAAACATCCACTTTCAAGCATCAAATATCCATTGCGCCTCTATTATCAGATGCTATCAAATACGATAACCAATATCCTGTTCAATATTTACATCCCTGCGGAGCTCCAAGCACAAGAGCTGCGATGTTGAGCCGCTGATTGATCGCGCATGACCAGACGCATGTGCTGCACACCAGCTGATTACCAACTTCTGCCATGGGTACTCTGTGCATGTAAATACCGAGTTAACGGCCCAAATATTTTAATCCCACACCAGGCTGTTAAGGCAGGTATCAAACAGTGGGTTCCTATTCAGCAAATATTCAACTACGCAACAAATATTTAATGTTGAAACTTTGCAGGGTGGATTCTTGGGAGCAACTGATGGGGACAAGCTTGCTGCCTTGCTGCATTATTCCTGCTCCATAATTGCTTTGTTCATTTTCAATGTGACCTCACCACCATGAATGAGGTGATATTAGTGCATAATATTTTAAAGACACTTAATTCCCGTACTCCTCATTAATCTTTCTTCCAAAAGTAGCCTGTAAAAAGCTGGTTTGTATTTTGTCCTTGAGACCACATGAAACTTGTCACCGTGTGGTAAATAAATGTTGGATGTGGTGCAAGAGTGGGTGGGCTACATCCCTTAAAGGGGTGGATCAAGTTCCCTCGTGCCCTTTTCCACTTCAAACATTAATGTGAGAAACAGAAGCAAAATGAGGCCTCAGCATTGACACAAACCATTGGTAAACTAATCTTTTTCTAAGAATGAATCTTCCATTTACTGTTTTAATGTATCCAGATAGAGGCAATACACTGAAGGTGGCACCCACAGTGCCTGACAGCTACACTAACATACAAGGATGCAGCTTTGCCTCTGGGAAGAAATTTCCTTCAGACACTTTTGAGCACAGGAAAGAGAGAGCTGGGCAAGAGGAACATATCGGCTAAAAATGTTAGTTTTCGGCTTTCTGCTATTTATTATTCTCACTGTTATTTTACCTAAAGTGACATTCAAAACTCTTAGTCTCTAGATGCATTCTGAAGTGTTTTTTACATTTTCACTGAATACACATAAGTATATTTAAACAAGATAATGCTAAAAACAAGATTCTTCTCTCTCTCTCTCAAAAAAAAAAAAGAAAACAAGGAAACCCAGCATATGATATTTCTTGGATACAGTTGGAGAAATGTGCTTGTAAGCCAGTCCTTGGCACATTGGCTTCTTCACCCAACTACTCTATACCCACACTTGCCAGATGGGAGAGCATGTCTACTTTTCTTTCTCCTTATAAGTCCAGTGCAGATGGATGGCACGTGGAAAAATATTAGGGCTCTGAAGAGGGAAATGCCATCTTGGGGATGTGGAGCTGGAAGACACACAAATATTTTGGAAAAGATCTCTCCAAGGCTTTGTTATTTGCTGGAAGGGTATTCATGCATTATCTACCATATGGGAAACATTTTTATGACTCTCAGGTCTCGTCACATGGTTCCCTGAAACCAGCTTTCCCAAACCACATATCCTCCAGATGTTGTGGACTGCAAAGTCCATCATCTCCAACCAGATAATTTGCCTGTTGTCTAGGAATGGCTGAAAAGATGTTGTGCAGCATGTCTTACAGGTGTCGGCTGGAGGGAGTCTGCCTCAGATGGTAACAACCCAAACCAAGGAGATGGATGCAAGTGAAAAGAAATCAGTTTTTGAAGTTAAGAATGCAGGATTGATAAGGAAGAATTCACTGAAGGCTGGAATGTTTCAGGGTGAGTTTTATGGGGCAGAAGAGTGATCAGGAAAAGACACGCTGAGCACCAGCATAACACAAAGGCGATGTATAAAAACAGTTCATTCTTTCACAGTCAAGTAGGCAAGTAAATTTCTGATATAATTTTTAAAAAATGCAACTAAGGGTTTTCCACTTCTCTCAAATACTGACCACTACTGCATGTCAACTGCCAGTTTTGCTAACCGAATGTTAGCTGCCAGGTTGTGTCAAGCATTGATTGAAACCAGCTTTCCCAAACCACATATCC